CCCCCCCCCCCCCCCCGTTCCTACGCCCTTGGTGGAAAGAATGGCTGGGGTGATTGATTTGCTGGAGATGTAGAGTTGTGTGTCTTCAGCGTAGCAATGAAAGTGAAGACCGTGTTGGCGTATGATATGACCAAGGGGGAGCATGTACAGGATGAAGAGGAGTGGCCCCAGCACAGAGCCCTGGGGAACACTGTGGGTGACAGGGGCAGTGTGTGAGGTGCAGTTGTTGACAGAGATATAGTGGTGGTGGTCGGAGAGGTAAGAAGTGAACCAGTTGAGTGCTGAGCCAGTAATACCAATAAATGATTGAACACGGTTAAGGAGGATGGCATGATCGATGGTATCGAAAGCTGAGTTGAGGTCAAGGAGGAGGACAATGGTGAGGGAACCAGAGTCAGAAGCAATCAAGAGGTCGTTGGTTACTTTCAGTGAAGCCTGATTGATGCTTCTCCGTCAGCTCCGCAAGGGACAGAAACGCACAGATTGACGGAAGCGTTTTGCTCTCATACTTCTCCGTTTCCTGGGGAGTGTTGCAAAGCAATTCCCCGGCAGGACAACAGAGGGCGTAGCGCTGTTCTGTGGTACCCTGTCATGTATCGGTCCAAGACAGTGTGTTTACATTGTGTTTTTTTTAATATAAGAGACTTTTTAACACAGACAAATTTGTCTCTCATTCTCCTCCACCTTTTCATGCGCTCGCCACCTCTAAACCCACGTGTCCTGTCATTTCTGTCCACAAATAAAATGCTTGCTGCGCATCTTTTCACTCCTCCAGTCACGGGGAATTAAACGTTCATGTTTTTAGAGTTTTTTCGCGAGGTGTTCTTCAAGCTGCTCCGTGTCTGCCGCTAGTTATCCTCGGCTCTCTTTATGTTTTTGAGGGCGCGATGGCGGCGGTGGAGATGACAGCGACGTCCCGACCAATCACAAGCTTGCACTGTCCATCTCGACTGACGGATGTTTAGAAAAGAGAGCTCGACTCCGTCCGTCCTTGCGGAGCTCTCCAGCAGGCCCGCAAAGACGTTGCGTGAACTCCTCCTCTTGACTCAAGCTCATCAAGCTCCAGGCCTTTATTGGAAGGAGGGCCAGTATTAGAGGCAGGCCTCTATTTCTATTTGAAGAAAATGAACTAATGGTTCGCAGGAGTTTTTGACAATTAAAATTGCACCCACATTTTCAAAGTTAAACACATTTCTTTTAACAACGGTAGTTTCTGCTTCAGCCCTCTCCCCCCTCCCCCTAAAGTTAGGATTACTCCAACACTCTGGAAACTATTTGGGGTTTTCTTTGGGTGTTGTCATCCCTTTTGCATTTGTCAATTTGTCAACTGTATGATCAGTTGAAGCTGCAGTAGTAGAACAAGTCGACCATTTTTTTTAATCGATGTAATTGAATTATTTGAGTATTCGTTTCAGCCCTGCCAGTAACTGAGTCAACAACAAAGGACTCACAGAAATTTGACCGCGGTGGACCAGCGAAGCCCGAAATCCTCGGTCAGCTAAAGCCAAGCCGGGCGTACACTGTGCGACTTTTTCACTCGCAGCGTTCAGCTTCAGCTCAAACTGTACGACTTCCTCGCAGAGCAGATCTCACGAGTCATGTGCTCACACTGTACGACCCAGTTCTCGCATGCGACCTGACTGCTCACACTGTACGTCTGGTAGCAACACGTCGGCCCTAAAAATGTGCTAAAAATAGCAGTTTTTACTCAACACGTCAGACTTTTTTGTCTTGCCTGTTGTCCTTCGGGAGTGCTGCAGGGGGACACACAGGGATGTATGGGGGTTGGATGAGGAAAACGAAATAAAGAAAGTGAATCTGTGTTTTGTGATCAGTTTCATTTGACATGAACACGACAAACACGCTCTCTTGACAATCTTTGTGAGTAAAAAAAACGTGTAGAAACAAAAACGAACAGCGTGTGTTATTAGGGAAATAGCGGGCGAGCGGTGTTGATGCATGCATGTGCCGTGAGCGGTTCTGATACTTTTTTGGGTCGCAGCTGCTCGCAGCGCCGCTTCAACAGTGCGATACCCTCACGAGGGACGAGCGAAATATTAAACACACCAGAAGCCCGTGCGACCTCACGACTGCTGATCGGCGGCTGGTCACGTGGTGTTAATCGCCTCTCGTAACCCCCTGTACACTACACGACCGCTCGGCGCAAAACTCGCCCCGATCTCGTGGCTTCTCGCACGACTGGAAAATCGGCTCAAAAAAGTGAAAAAGTCGCACAGTGTACGCCCGGCTTTACCTAGTTATGATTTTGTTACTAAGCAGGCTTGAGGTGCCTTCACTTTGGAGTCGCTCTATCGTGTTTTTATTGCTAAAAACACCCGGAAAAACTCTGTTGGGTTTGGATTAGCATGTAGCTAATGTCTGGCTGATCTCCAAACGTGGAGCATGAGCTAAAACCGACAGCGCCCAGCTACGATGACAACGACCTGAGGCTCCACTTGTAATTTAACAGTCCCAGTCCATATTAGATCCCACCGGCGACCAGCATGACTACAGCCTCGCATGGGAGCCAGTCAGCCGTGCGGATGGGTTACCCCAGAGCCCTTCTTAGTTTCTTAGGTTAGCTAGTAGCTACACCGGTTCATTTGTTCTAACCCTGTTCCAAATGTAGCAGCCCGACCCTCAGCTCCACCTCTTTTCCCATTTTTAGATTGTCTGGGCGTGACGAGACGTGTGACACGGTCACAAAATCAGTGGTGGGAACCTCCCATTTTTGGCCTCAACCTGCCCCCCACGGAACAATGGGCGAGCTATGTCCATATTTTTATATGTCGATGGTTTACCCCAGTGAACAGTCATGATTCGTGGCTTCATTTCCCCATGGTGCAAGGGTCTGTTTACTGGAGCCATCAAGCTAAATAAAAACTCTTCTGGTTAAATAGAAGTATGCCTGCCACCCATCCAGTAAAATATGGAATTGTCTAATATTTGTTTTATAAATGTTGCATCCCATATTGAACCAATGCAGGACGCAATTTGTTTCATCTTTTCATAAAAGTCGAGCACTTGTCTGCCACATACACATTAACACTTAACTTAACCATTATGAACAAAAGAAAACAGGAAATACTAAGGTCGGCCATATTCTCATGGCAGGATCTGAATAGGACCCCCTCTCCCCGGTTTGCTATAAGCCGGAGCTGCCTGTGTGTGCTACTGTCACAGTCACCGTGAGACGAACGCAACCCATGCGCACCTGCTCCTTTTCAATATGTCCACTTCCCCCAGGTCCACCAATAAGGGGGGACAAACGGGTCTGTTGTCAGCTGATGTAGGCCGAAGGGTGTCTGCGCTGCTTCTAACACTAAACCCTCTGTCAATCATCTCTGTGACCTTTAACCCAGCTCTCACTCTGGATTCTCATGTCAGTCAGTTATCTTGTTCGCTCCTCGTTTCATCTCAGTCCCATTCTGTCACGCTCTGCACTTGAGACTGTTAATCCTCACCTTCATCTCTTTACACCTGGACTACTGCAACTCACTTTTCACTTATCTGAGCAAAACCAACCAGAACTATTTATAGATGGTTCAGGATGCCTGTGCTCGGCTTCTGACCAAGTCCTCAAAATAGACCCACGTCACCCTGGTCCTCTTCCAGCTCCACTGGCTGCCAGTTTACATCCATGCTCGCTTCAAAATCCTGGTTCTGGTTTTTAGGGCCTTACATGGACAAGCACCATCACACTTTGGTGATCTTCTCAGCCCCTACACCCCCAGCAGGAGCAGCATGCTGGATGGTATTATTTCTCCTCTCACTCCCTCCCTCACTCATTCACAAACACACACACACACACACACACACACACACACTAGGGCTGTCGCGGTAACCGCAAAAATGAAATATCGCGATATGAAGAAGCCCACCGCGCTGCATCACGGGCCACCGCGATTACTGAACGTGATTCAACTCAATGATGCATGTTGAGAAGGATGGCTGCACTGGTATCAAAACGAAACGTTACTTCGCTCCTTTGGGAGCACTTTGGTTTTCTGTACGTCAGCTGCTGCGGAGCCAGAGTCCTTGGCCGAGACAGAGCTGTCACCAGCGGCAAAAATAAATAAATAAATAAACGCTCGGAGACCTGCTGAAGTCCCGGACAAGCACTGCTTCTGCAGCCGTCCCGAAGAGAGTTTGAGCCGAGCTGGAGCTCACTCGCTACCTGCAGGAGGAATGCATCCACCCTAAAGAAACCCCCCTGACATGGTGGAGCAACAACCGGGAGAGATTCCCTTTGCTCGCCAGAGTTGCACGCAAGTACGTGTGTGTTAGTGCAACGAACGCACCATCTGAGAGGGTTTTCAGTGTTGCTGGAAATGTTGCCACCCCTCTCAGATCCTCTCTCAAACCGTATATAGTTATCATGCTGGTTTTCCTTGTAGGTAACAAGGACGTGACCGAGCTATAAATCACCGTCATTCGTGTGTGTGAAAGTGAAATGATAGTGCGCCCGGTACATGTAATTTTTTATGCTTTATTTTAAACAACTAAACAAAATGGGGACTTGTTTCTTATTTGTTAGATGCTGCAGCCATATTTGCATTTAAAAGTTTAACCTTCTCCTGAATTTAGTTGTTTTTAAGTTCAGTCGGACTTCGACTGTCGGAGAAACAAACGTTACTGCGATCTGTGTTGTTACTGCCCTTTGATCTGCATTCAGTAAAGTGTTATTAAAGAAGGCACGGCAATTTTTAACCTTTTTTAAATGTGTAAACATTATGTTTAGATAGTACTGCAATAAAAAAAGTGCTGCAATAATATCGCACACCGCAATATTAAGCCACCCTGAATCACCGCAGGGGGAATTCCTCAACCGCGACAGCCCTAACACACACACACACACACACACACACACACACACACACACACACACACACACACACACACACACACACACACACACACACACACACACACACACACACACACACACACACACACACACACACACACACACACACACGCTAATGGTTGTGTAGCACTACCTGTATTAATGATGTCCAGATCCATATATTGATGTAAACAGGGTGAATCAGCTGATCGATGATCCTGAAGTGGTAGCTCGTTTGATGTAGCCATGTTTAGCTAACAGCTGCAATGGAAACAAAGCAGAAGACATGAAGCTGCAGAAGAATGCAGGAGATTAAAGATCCAGTGGTTTGGTTCTGATCAGCCGAGGGTAGATGCTGTCTATGGAGGAAACAAGCAACTGCTGCTGTTATATCATAAAATTAGACCTTCTCTGAAACGGATATTATTTGAGTATTTCTTGGTTTATCTAGAAGATATTTTCCCACACTAGCATTCACATCGCTGAGACGGTTGGTGGGAGTGTTTAGCCTGGCCTGCCAGACTCCTCCTCTGTTTAATTCTGCACAGAGAATGAGTCTGGTAACTCTCCCGTGAAAATAATCCCACCCCCTGAGAATTCTAACCGAGCCAATCAGCGCTGAGCAGAGTGCGTCTGGTTACTCAAAGGCAGAGAGGCATGTGAGAGGTGAGACTAACCAGCTCAAAAATAACCAATCAGAAAAAATGCGGAAATGTTGACTGTAGTCAGAGCCGCGGCGAACTCCACTTCAAACGGCACCTTTGTTGTTTATTAGAAACTGAGCGTTGCGGTGTGTGACATACGCTGCTCAGTACTGATTGGCTCAGTTCGAATTTTCAGGGTGTGGGGTTATTTGCATGGGAGAGTTACTAGACTCATTCATACAAAACAATCATCAGTAGAACCCCGTCTTGTCTTCGCTCATTACTCATCACTTCCAACAACCAGCGCAATTTACGTTCCAGTAACTTAATCTCTGTGGTTAGTCCCAAAGCTCGCACCTCCTTTGGCCACTCCTCATTCCAGTTTGCTGCTTCCAACGACTGGAATGAGCTCTCAAAGCCAAAGAACCTTGCCTTGATGTCTTGGCCCCGCCCCTGTTGCCTAGGAGATACGTCATTGTTAGCTGCCGAAACGTGTTCCAATGTTCATGTTCTACCGAGGCGTGTGTTCTCTGTTTGTTAGCCGCTTAGCTAGCTGAGCGAGGATACATGGGAGGTGTCTTGTAGCCTAGCCTTGGTCAAAAATTTCCCAGAACACACCGTATTTTCAAAAGGACAGCGTATCAGAAGCCAGCAGCTACTTCTGGGATCATTTTCAAAATTTAAAGTAAGTCAACTAATTTAAAATGTTTTTTTAGATCCAAAGAAGTTATCTATGGTTGCTTAGTAGTTGCAGCTTCAGTGGCTAGCGGGTAGTAACTCACTTATATTTTTAATTTAATAAACATATACACAATTTAAAAAGTAAAAGGCTTGTTGTATATTTATATTGAAACTGATAAGTATAAAATGTAACGTTATCTCCCGTGTTACGTGGCGTTACGTGACCACCGTGGAAGCTGCGGTCTGTTCCATTTAACCGTTTTCTTTGACCAAGGAAGGACAGTGTCCTCGTAAGCCAGGCGCCTTGACACTGAGAAACACCCTAAAGCTCACTACCTACATTCCATCATTTACCTTCAATCATTCATTGCAATCAATAGATTCTGATCAATGTTCCTGCTTCTGAGTGCTTAAAGACTGTTTTAAGTCTGTTTTGATTGCTTGTACATATTGTAAATGAGAACAGTCCTTTGACTTATGTATAACCGTTTTATCTTATTTTGATCTTGTATGTTTTTTTTCTTATCTGTTTTTCTTTGATGTAAAGCTAACTTTGTGTCTGTTGTTGCTGCCTCTCGGCCAGATCGTCGTTGTAAATGAGAATGAGCTGTCAAGCCACTCATCTGGATAAATAAAGGTTAAATAAAAATTTTAATGGACGTTTAGGAAAAAATAAAGAGTAAGTAAGTAGAGTAAGTCAAATATAATGCGTGTCTGACCATAATCCACTCTCTTGAACAATAAATTTTAATAGAAAATGGTACATGTAGGGTGGGGCAAAATGGGAAAAAAATCCTAATACTATAATATTATTTTTCATATAAGTTGATGAATATATATCATGATGTTAAACAAATTACAATTGTCAATTTTTTTATGTTCCCTGGTACTTTTAACTAGGGATGGGTGATATATTGTGTATACTTAAGGTATTGCAAGTTTTTCTGTATCTGATGGTATAAATGACCCTTTCAATAACCATCATAGTCATGACAAATTTAAACCATCTGCTTGTAGCAGTTACTATCATGTAACTCACGCTGGATGAGTCAGTTTTACAAAAGATGAAAAACAGAAACTTCCATCCACCATTCAAGCTGCAAAATTCAATAAAAAACCCTTAAAAGAGGACATGTTGGGTGGACATCACCTTCCAGCAGGTCAACAGCTAGATCTTTTTTGTGTGTTAAAGGAGCCAGTTAGTTCCACGCAGCCAAGAGTCTGAAATAACTGTAGCAGGTATGCCAACATCATTTTATTTCAATGAGGGTCCTTCAGATGAAACGTTTCTTAGAATAAATGTGAGCTGATCAAGGTGTGCAACATCCGGTATGGAGTCAACAGTGATGGAAAAGTGTTCAGCCACTTTTACTTCACTATTTCAGACAGAACCTGATCATCCATCAGCTGAATAAACTCTTCATGTTTTATATGAAGGTGTTCCTGTGCCTTCATTCCCATATTCCTCTATGTGAGACCAAAAAAGGAATAAACTCACTTAATAACTCCTGAATGCCCAGGTAATAACTACTATCATCAGTCCTGCCAAAAACATAACTGGACCCTCTGAGCCACACCTCCTTCTGCCAAAAACAAACACAACTCTTCTCCAAACATCAGCCCTATATGCACATTCATTTCACACTGTTTCTCCCGGTCTGGATCTATCCTTCCAGCGACTGACCCAACTGTAATACATATCAGCATAGCTTTTTCTGTGATGTCTGCTGCTGCAGTGCTGTTTCGTGCATTTTGTGGCATGTTTCCACTCACTAAACCCGATTCAAAGCACGACTAACTTTTAACATCACTGACAAAGTGGCATGCCAAACAAAACCAAACCCAGCTCCGGATAGAAAAGTAAAGCAGCCGCTGCCTTTGCACATACTCACCATTGGAGAAGACACATATTAGAGGGAGTAGGGTGTTTGTTCCACCGTTTATAATCATCTTCGATCTTGTGCAGTAGTGGATTATGATGGAGGCTAAAAGGTTCTGATGGTGCGGGCTAAATCTGTTAGCTCACGTTTCGATTTACAGTCAGGGTCCTACGATCACAATTATAACTATTTTCCTTTGCATTTGTTTTTTATTTCCTCATTTCATAGCTTTATCATACTTTCAAATTATTTTAGAACACATTAATTCAAGTCACCTTTACTCCGCTATCTTATTCATGTACTGAACACACCCAACATACTTTTGCCTGAAATCTACAAAAAACGTGAATATTTCACAACTAAGATCAATAAACTTATATTTATAATTGTTTTAATAAAATATCGTTACGGGAAAACACCAAAATGTCTGTGAAAGCTCTTAAAGCCCATCACTCACCACGGAGTGAACGTCTTTAATATCTAACAGATCTAGTAAACACGGCTTTGTTTTGAGACGTAGGTGTAAACATCCATTAAATGCTGTGTCTCCATCTCAAACTCACATTTAAAGTTCCATTTTGTTACACTCACGTCGTCTGTACAAACAAAACACATTTAAATCCAAACAGAGAAACGTAGCAGCTTTTCCGCAGCCTGGAGCAGAAGGAGAACGGCGCATGCGCACTGACTGTGAGTCTTCTTTGGTGTTTAACATTCACCACCGCCACCTAGCGATCTGGAGTGGGAACGCCAGTTCTCTCCTTGTCGATTCATGCTTCTCCGTCAGCTCCAAAAGGGAGAGAGTATTTATGTCGATGGTCCACACGCAGACACCCAAAACGGAGAAAACGCAGATCTTCACTTTGGCCGGAGTTTTTAAAAAGATCCGTTTTCGTGTGGAAAAAACTCCGTTTTCGTGTGGATGACAGGCCAAAACGTAGAAAAATATCTACGTTTTGGCAGATCCCCGGCTACGTGTGGACAGGGCATTCTTCTTCTGGGGTTTAAATGCCAGTTGGCACACAACGAAAGTATGGTGCATTACCGCCACCAACTAGTGTGGTCTGGAATAGTGCGCGCGCGCGCGCGCACGCACACACACACACACACACACACACACACACACACACACACACACACACACACACACACACACACACACACACACACACACACACACACACACACACACACACACACACACACACATCAAATTCTCCCAAACACCCTTATCTCCTTCAAAAACTGAAATAGTGGACAGGGCCTGAGATGCAGACAGGGTTAAACACACTGGGGCAGGATGAGAGGGAGATGAGCTGCAGGTGTGTGGGGAGAGAAACCTAATGAAAACAATTAACTAATCAGGGAGAGGAAAATAACATGACCTAAGAATAAAGACAAAACCTAAAGACAAGAGCAAGATAAATAACTAATTACACAAGGAGGAAGGAGAACTAAAGAACCGGTGGGGAAAGAAACGCACTAAAAGAGACTTATAACAGAAAAGCTGAACCTATAGGAAAAAAACTACAGAAAGAAAAACTACAGAGGTGTGACTAAGATAGACCATGGGAGCAATCTTTCAAAATGTTTTACTTCTAACTTTTCCTACATAATGACACAAACCTAACAGAAAAATTTAAATAGTGTTTTATTTTTCCTGAATTATTTGTTGCTGTATTTGTTTCCTTTGCACATTTTAACATAAAAAACTAAAGTTATTGTCAGGTTTTTGTTATAAAAGTATCAAATGAAACTTGATACTGAAAAGAGGAGAAAAAACATTATTTGACAATTCAGTGTTACATTTGATTAATAAAATCTTCATCACTGCAATATTTCTAACTCTTCATTAACATAAATTTTCTCAACATCTTCTTCAGTTAATAGAAATCAAACAGCTGAGCTCCAGCCACTGAGATGAGAGCAGCTTATTCTGCTCTAATCCTCCACTCTGAGTTCTGTTTAGTTATTAATCCTAAATCATTTAATGATGTGTTAAATCATTAAGCTTGTTTGGTTTAATATGAGAGAACTTTGTTCTGTGTGAGGAGCTGGTGGTCCTCATTATGCAAACAACCTTCCTGCTGGGGAATATAAACACTTGGTACAAAGAGACGCTCAGTCAGATCCTCTTCATCATCATCTTCATCATCATAGGCATCATTTTAACCGGGGACGCCGGGGACATGTCCCCGGCAAAATTTGTGATTGGCAGCTGTGTCCCCCCCACTTTCAAAAAAGCCTGCTGATGAGGATTTTTGTTTTACCAACTCAGATCTTATACCAGGGGTCGGCAACCTGTTCCCATCAAAGAGCCTTTATTACCCATTTCCCACAGTAAAGAAAACACCGCAGTAGCCGCAGCGTTGTGGGCGGGGCCTACCCCAGACAGCAGAGCGCTGCTCACAACCAGGTGACAGCAGCCGGTACCGGTCGCTCGCATGGGCATCGCACCCGTGGGGGATTCAACACCCACACTTTTCCAGCTGTTTTGCTCACCTCCACACCAGTCTGGTTTCTTTACGTCGCACTCACTCTGTTCGCCTCATCTCCTTCTTCACCTCCCGACAGCCGATGTCGGGTTTCCAGAGAGCAGGAGAGGGAGGGACGGAAGAAATCGACTGAATTCATAATTTTACATCTTGACATTACCTGTACAAAGTCTGAGTTTGATAAAGTGAAGAACAACAATTTGCAGAGGTTTATAACAGGCGCGGCGCCAGGTTTTCATTTTTGGGTGGGCCACGGTAATTTTGGACGGACCTTAATAAGCAGTGACTTAGTGAAGCAGGCAGGTCGCGCTAGAAAATTTCGTTTCAAAAGACGTCATAAATGTGTTCCCCCGTCATTTTTATTTATAAAATATGAAGTAAAAACTCCCAATTAAATTTTCATTCATTTGTCATTAATATGTAGTCTACACCCGTGCGTTAAGTGGACCATCTTCCAGTAAAAGCAAAGCTTCCAGCACCACCTCTCCAAATGCGTAAAATGTGCACCACAGCCGTGAGGCGCGCCGCGCGCACCGTCAGCTGATCAGCCCAGACAAGAGCAGAGCAAATAGAGAAAGAATAGAGGATAATTGTGTCTGGATGTGGATGGAGATTACATTTTACATCAGCCTGATCATCATTTAAACACGTAAACCATCACCTGTCTTCTAGTCCACGCTATCAGCATTATTTTAATTGGTGTGTGTGTGTGTGTGTTTTCCACTTCCAACACTGGTCTAACCAACCAGACCAGCGTGTCCAGTAACATATTAATGTTACAATTAAACAGTTTCACTTCATGTAGGCTAGGAACATTTCACCTGCCGTGGCCCGACCGCTTCTGCTCCACATAAACTTTGTGCGTGATCAAATGTCTCTACAGGTGCTTTCTGAGCTGCTATTCTGCCTCAGACTGGATGCGTCATGCGTCTCCATGTTAGAGACGGGAGCAAGCGCTGTTCAGCCAAAGTTTAATAATTTCATAAAAAGAACATTTTTCCAAGTGAAACATCCCTCAGAGAGACCGGGTTTCCAGACCGCTTCAGTGGGAGGAAATCTTATGGCATACACCGTGGTTCTGCACTGCGCTGCAAACCCCTCTACAGATCTCCAGCTCACTGTCCACCGTGGGCGCTCCGAGCCGCGCTGAACACAGTGAACAATAAAGCTCTGATGTTCTGATGGGAATATTTTACCTCTGCGATGTGCGTAACGATTAAAATGTCAGCTCATCCATGCGCATCAGTGTGCGTCGGGGTAATTCTTTCAAAACAGCCAGCATCCTTGAGTTTATCTGTCAAAATAAACAGTCAAACGGAAATTTCTGTAACCGGCCATTTAACTGTTTTGCTTCGTGTGAAGATTGTTGCAAAGAGAAACAACTAAACTTGATTAACCCCAGAGCCACGCGCACTGCGCTGTGTGTCGTGACTGTAAATGAGGGGAAATGATTTAATCGGATCCTTTTCTTTTCAACATGGTTTAATGTAAAGTTTCATTCAGTACAAACTTTAGTTATACCAATATAACGAGACAGAGCCTGGATTTGTATTCTGAACAGTTTAAACATGTTTAAAACGGAGACATGCGTGACGCGTCTAAAATTCGCACCTGCTCCGCTATTATGGAAATTAAACTAACAAGATGAATAACATAATTATTTTAGACACAGACAACATCTCCCACACTTTTGAAAATCTTGCAACGCGCCTGGTCGCTCGTGTATGTCAAAGTTATCTTTCATAAGAAGATAATCAATAAAACGATTTATATAAAGATGATCCAGAAGTTGTAGCCCGTCTCTGCCTACAATATTTTGATATTTTTCACCCTGTTGGTGGTTTTACTGAGCAGGTGCCACTTTTGTCATACGTTTCTTTTAAAAACATGTTTAGACTGTTCAGAATACAAATCGAGGCTCTCAGAACCAGAGCGCATGTGAGAAGGTTCCTCCCACTGAAGCGACTGTTTTCCAAACCCTGTCTCTCAGAGAGACTTGTCACTTAGAAAATGTTCCCTGATTATGAAACTTTGGCTGAATAGTGCTTGTTCCTGTCTCCAATGTGGCGACGCATCCAGGAGCTGAGGAGAATCCCAGAATCTGACATCCTCCAGCTCAGGAAGCGTCTATGATTACGCACAAGCATGACCCGTCAACCCGGTCTCACAGTAAGACCGGGTTGGACCTGTTCAGGTTTACGCAGACAATCTTTACATTTAGAATTAGCATACAGATGTAAAATTAATGCAGTAAAATATAAAGCATTTTATTTAAATATCCATTCATTATTTTACAAGCACAGAGAACCGCATCAGATGGATGGAAGAGCCGCATGCGGCTCCAGATCCGCCGACCCCTAGCCTATATTGTCCCCAGCAATTTTTAAACCACACTCAAGTGTATGGTTATTGTCCCCAGCAATTCTGAAAACAAACTGACACCCTCATGTTCCCTGCTGGTGGCTGCTGCATCCTGTGAGTCTCCCTGAGACAGAATCAGTCCGATTAAAATACACTGGCTGTTTATTTTAATGACTGATTCTTAATCTGATACTCCTCAGGTGTGAAGTGTGAACAGCTGACTCAGCCAGCCTCTGTGACTGTGCAGCCAGGTCAGCGTCTGACCATCAGCTGTCAGGTCTCTTATTCTCTCACCAGTTCCTGGACATACTGGATCAGACAGCCTGCAGGAAATGGACTGGAGTGGATTTGTAAAGATGAAACCATCAAATATTCATTAAATGATACGTTCAGCGTTGATTTAGACTCTTCCAGTAAAACAGTGACTCTGAATGGACAGAACACGCAGCCTGAAGACTCTGCTGTGTATTACTGTGCCAGACAGGAGCACAGTGACACAAACATCAGAACAGCCGATCAAAACCCCCTCGGAGTCTGAACAACTGTTACATAAAACCACCATAGAGGGCGCTCTAGGACCAGTTTTAAAATAAAAGACAAGTTTCAATAACAATAAGACAAGTAAAAACAAGAGTGAACAAAGAGAGTCACGATTCAGGTGAACAGATAAAATGTGTTTACTATGAAGGGACATTTTAAAGTGAATCTGTTGTTTCTCTGGGTTACTTTATGATTCTAAACTTTTCAATGATAATTAAATTAGAATATATATATATATATATATATATATATATATATATATATATATATATATATATATATATATATATATATATATATATATATATAAATGACTTTTATTTTCTAAACTTGCTGAACAGGAAATCCAGACGATCAGGATTGGCTTGTAGCAAACGTTTGTGTTTGTTGTTTCTGTTTTTATTTGTTTAAAAAATGTTTGACATTTTTAAAAGCAGACATGAGACATGTTTATCTTCATTTGTGTTTTTTAATAACATCAAGCTGAGGCTGCATGTCCTGAGAACAAAGCTGCAGGTTTAGAATTTATCTAAAATAATTAATTGTTAAATGAGTGAGATGAGTTGTGTGTG